AGTATCTTTATGCTTTGTTCCTTTCTTTATTCCTACCACTGGTTGTGCCTTTTATCTTTGCATCTTATTAGGATCAATTTAGTAATAATTTTTACAAGAAATTATTTTAATGTTTTTCTCCCTCTAGTATATGTTTTTTGTCTTATGAAATTTCATCTCATTGCTATTTCTTTTCCTATTTTCTTCAGCTTTAATTGGTGTGCTTTTCTTTTGAGACAGAATCTTGCTAAGTAGCTTGGGCTGGTCTAGAACTTGCTATATTATATAAGAAAGCTCAGGTTGGTCTTGAACTATAATCGTTCAGTCTTTTCCTCTTCCTCTTATTTTTCTAATTTCTTGAGATGGATAGGGAATTCATCAAAGTATATGATGGGTGATGGGTAATAGATTTCTCTCTAAGTTGGATTTAGCTGCATCCTACAAGCTTTAATAAATTGTTACTTTGTTGTCAAGTTTAAGAAATTTTGTAATTTTCATTTGAGGTGTTCTTTTTGACCTGAGTTATGTATACAAATACTTGTCTTTTCAGACATGGAGATTTTTTCAGTCAGTACTTACTTGAACTCAAAATCTTACTGTTCACCAAATATTGAATACACTTGCTTTCTGTTTGTTGTGTTGTTACTTTACTTTGTGATAGATACATTGGTTATGATCTGGATTTTAGATAACTTGGTGTGTGGCTAACAAGTGCACTTTTTTTAAGTCATGATCAAAGATACTGTATGTTTTTTCAAAATGTTTTATTATAATTTAAATATGTATTTGATAGACCAGGTGCTGGTGACTCAGGAGGCTGATCAGGATTGCAGTTTGAAGCCAACCCATGTAGGAAAGACTGTGAGACTCTTATTTCCAATTAACCACCAAAAAGCTGGAAGAGGAGCTGTGGCTCAAGTGGTAGAACACTAGCATTGAGCTTAGAATCTCTGAGCTAGCTGGGTGCTGATGGCTCAAGCTTTTAATCCTAGCTACCCAGGAGGCTGAGATGTGAGAGTCGTGATTTGAAGCCAGGCTAGGTGGAGCTGTAGCTCAAAGACAGTACCCAGGCCTTGACTTCAGCACCTTGTACTGGCACAAACAAATAAAAAAGAAAGTTCTGGGATAATGCCCAAGTTGTGAATTCAAGCCTCAGGAGGACTGGCACCTGTGTGTGTGTGTGTGTGTGTGTGTGTGTGTGTGTGTGTGTGTGTGTGTGTGTGTGCATGCACGCGCTCGCATCTGACAGTACTGTAGTTATTTCTGTAAACATAAGTTAATTTTGAACTACTTATCTTTAACAAAAATTCCATTTCTCTTATATTTTAATTTGAAATAGCTAGATTAGAATGTGGCTAAAGTGGTAGAACATCTGCCTAGAAAGCCCAATGCCCTGAGTTAAAATCCCAATATCACCATAATAATAATAATAATAATTATAATAATAAATGATGATGATGATGTATTAGTATCAGTTGATTAAATTTCCCTTGAAGGAAATATGCTATATTTGGTGAGTGAAATTTATTTAAATAGTGTTTATTACTTGACAGATACTACTTTGGGGTAGAGTTTTCTAGAACAATGAGCTTTCTTTCCAGTATACATATTAATATTATCATTTGGAAAATCAAAAGCATAGTAAGCATTAGTTTTCTTGCCTCATTTCTCCTTCAAAAGTTGTAGATTTTCTTCTAGTAGTACCTTTTCTTTTTATCACTTTCCCCCCATAATGTTCCTTTTAGTAGCCATTTTAATAGTTTAATAGTTGCAAGCAAAAACTTTAGAGGTTGTAAACATTTTCATAAATGCTATGGGAAATGTTCAACTACATTAAAAGCAAAATAATTACCTTGCTTTAAATGAGTCAGGATTTCTATCTTAAAATATATGTGTAAATATGTCTATCAGTGCTGAATTAATGGTGTACTCTGGGGATTTAAAATGTGTGATTGCTATATTGTGTGCAAGTATCCTGTCTTGGTAAAATGCTGCCTTTTACTAGGAAGTGTGTGTGTGTGTGTGTGTGTGTGTGTGTGTGTGTGTGTGTGTATACATACATATATATACACACACAATTTGGCAAAATAATTTTTGAAAGGTAAAGGCATTAAAAACATTTAAAATTATAATTTATGTTCTCAAAGAATTATCTTACATTTAGCAGGCCTTTAAATTATGGTACATATTTAAACCTACTCAAATGAATATAGTAATAGAATATGTGGTAAGGAATAATAGTTGAGTGAATAAGAAGGAACAATATTTTTGAAGTAAAAAAAATATGTTATTTAACTGGTACCTTTAAGAATTGCTTAGGAAATGTGGTTATTAGATACGCAGAAAGGGGGCACACTAAATAGAATATTGGCAGGCTTCCTGAAATTCATATGCATAGTAGTTAGAGGCATATTGAGTTTTAAATGTCAGCCAACTTTTATTCTCTTCCTTTTCTAGCATCTATTTGTATGAACTGTGACTATTCTTACTTCTTAAGGGAGTTAGTTTATGAAGCTTTCTGTGAACATTTGTTATAGAGGAAATAAATTACCACTGCTATATATATATATAAAACAGTAAATTTTTGATACCAGCAGTGGTTAAAAGTTTTGTTAGAATAATTTATTTGTCAAATGTTGACTAAGAAAGCTTTCATTTCATTGTTGAATTTTGGGATTGTTTCCTACTCTTAGTCATATTTGCAACCTTCAATAGTATATTAAATGTTTTACTATAAGTCATTATTTACATTCTAAATGTAAAAAGAGCTTTGCTAAGTTGGTTTAATTGATTAATGTTCATCTATTAACATAATGTTAGTGGCCCTTAAAGTGAGCTTTAAAGGTATTTATTAGAGTAGCTAGCCATGAGGATGTTTGCAGAAGATCTACCTTATTTCATAGATTCTTAAGTTGCTTTGAGAGTGTGCTTTCTTGATTCGACTCATCTAAGTTTATGAAGGATAATCACACAAGTATCTCAGAACTAATACTTGGTGATAAAAATAGTAAGAAAGCATGAGTACCAGAAGAATCCCAATTTCAGAGAAGTTAATTTATAAATAAATATACATCCTAGAATTGTTAAAGTAGGAGTTTGAAGTTACTGATTGAATCTTACAAGATGTTTATGATGATCTGAAGTATTCTCATTTTTTATGTTTAGGTTAATATGACATACTAAGAGTAACACAAGACTGTCTTCACATAGTCTGCACCACAACCACTTTCCTGTCTACACATTCTACAAACATAGTTCTAAAAGTGGCATTTCTTCATTCAATGCAGGCCAAAATAATGTACCTTTTAAATGCACATGCCTATAATCCAAGTATTTGAAAGACTGAGACAGGAAGATCATGAATTCAAGTCCAGCTTGGACCATATAGTAAGATTTTGTCTTAAAGTAATAGACTTATTAGAATTAAAAATAGGAAGGAAGGAATGATGTAGGAAAGTGACCTTTAAAAAAAAAATTACCTTAGCCGGCTGCCAGTGTCTCATGCCTGTAATCTTAGCTACTTAGGAGTGTGACATTCTTAGCTCCAATTAACTATCAAAAAAAAAAAAAAGCCAGAAGTGGAACTGTGACTCAAGCACTAGCCTTGAATAAAACAAAACAATAACATCAAAAAAACCTCAGGGACAGCACCTAGGCCCTGAATTCAAGCCCTAGAATCAACACCAAGAATAAATAATTTTAATCTTCTATATGGTTTGATCTTTATTTCATGTGCATTTATTGTGGGTTTTTTGTTTTTGAAGCCCTAGAACCAATACCAAGAATAAATAATTTTAATCTTCTATATGGTTTGATCTTACTTCATGTGCATTTATTGTGGGTTTTTTGTTTTTGTCAGTAGTGGGGCTTGAATTCAGGGCCTGGGCACTATCCGCGAGCTCTTACACTTAAGGCTAGTGTCTTGAGTATAGTGCCACCTGGTTTTCTAGTGGTTAATTTGAGATAAGTGTCTCATAGATTTTCCTGCCTGGGCTGGCTTTTAACCACCATCCTCAGACCTCATCCTCCTGAGTAGCTAGGAGTACAGGCTTGAGCCACCAGTGCCTGGCCCATTTATTGTTTTATAAGAAGTAAGCATATCCTTTAAAAGTTTGGCTCTAAATTGCTTACAAAATAAAGTATACAGTATGATATTTGAAATTCTTCATAAGTGATTTGAAACTTTCTTTGGATCTCATCTTCAACTCAATTGTTTCTTACTTCAGACATTCTTGTCTCAAATTCTTTATGTCCTCAGGACTCTGTTGAAATTTATCCTTGTGCTACCTACTCTTCCCAGCTAAGTCTAAATCCCCTCTGTTCAAACTCTTAACAGATCCTTGCATAGTAAGTACCTCTTAACTAACTGCCTAATGGCAAGTAGATTCTATTATACACTTACCAGAAAGTACTTTTGCTAGGCTTATTTATTTGTCAGGTTTTTCTGTTAGATTTTAGGACTGACTAATTTAGGCTTATATTATTATTTCCTGTAGTGCGTACTATGATATAGAGTATTTCTTCAGTTAAAAATTTTGATATATACAGTACTTCTTTTCCATAGATACTATATAGTAATTCTGTTAGAATTGATAGTATGTTGGAGTGTAGAACAATCTTAAGTTTTCATTCTTAAGAATTTATTCAATATTCTTTGGTTATTATACCATAATTCAAAAGACAGTAATAATTACATAGAGCAAAGTGAGGAGGTATATGACTGTAATCCCATGTACTTAAGAGGTTAAGGCAGGAGAAGAACAATTTCAAGGTCAGCCTGGGCTACATAGTGAGACTTTATCTCAAAATGAAAAAATTTTAAAGGGATGGAGATTTAAAAAAACCTCGAGTACTTGGCATTGCATGCATAAGGCCAGGATTCTCAATACTGGGGGTAGGGAGAAGAGAATAATTACATAGGTATTCAAATTTTTACAGTATCTATTATAGAATTTTTAATTATAGCTTTATTGTAAAAGTATAGTATTTTATAAAAATGCCCTTTTTTCCCTCCTATATAGGTTACTTCCTCAGAATGTTGGCCTTCTCTATGTTGGAGGTTATGAAAGACCATTTGCTCAAATCAAGGTACGATTGTTCATTTTAATGTATTTCTACTAAGCACTCATTGGTCCAGAAACTACCAGAAACTTGCTAATAACTATCATCATATCAAAAATACAGTGGCTTTGAAATAATAATTTTATTGACTTTTTCATATTTCTGTTGAAATATGAGCTTTTCACTCAGCTTTTCAACTCCAGAAAAAAATGTTTTCATATTCTTGCCTATACAAAGTTGACTTTGACCAAAGCGAAGTAGTGATTAATTTTTTCAGTACATTAAGACTTATGTAGATTTATCTTTCAGGTCATCATTTTTGCCATTAAAACTTTATTGGGAGTATAGCTTACATATAGAAAGCTATACATGAAATGTACAATTTGATAAATTTTGGCATGTGTACACTAATGCAAATCACAGTAATGAAGAAAAGAAACGTATCACTGTATAATAGTTATTTGTGCTCCTTGAAATTATCCTTCTTGCCTCTTTATGTTTTCCTTCTAGTGCCCTAAACTGATTTGTGCTATTAACTATGATTTTGCCTCATTAGTATTTATGTAAATGGAATCATGCAGTTTCCCCATTCCTCTTTTCTCTCTATCCCCCTTTTCACTCAATATAATTTTTTGAGCTACATCTGCGTTCTTGCACTTACCATGAGTTTATTCTTTTTTATTGCTGAGTAATATCCCATCATATGGCTATAACATAATGTATTTGCTCTTTCAGCTGTAGATAAGATGTGGGTTGTTTCTAGTTTGGGACTATAACAGCTAAAGCTGCTATGAACATTTGTGTGTAAATCTTTATATGGATACATGCCTTGCTTTCTCATGGATAACAAGAATATCTGATATTTCTTTTAGATAAATATGTAATCTCTGTCAGTGGCTTGTGTAAACTGATTACTGTAGTTTTATAAAAATTCATGAAATCAAGTAGTATAAATTTTCTTACTTTGTTCTTTTTTTCTGTTTTGGTTAGTGTAGCTTCCTTCCAAACTACGTTGAATCTATACATCAGTTTGAGGGAAATTGGAATTCTAACAGTATTGAGGTTTTCAATTCATGAAAACTATCTCTCTTGATTTATTATAACATCTCAGCAGTATTTGTTTTTAACATGTTGATCTTGTACACTTAAAAGATCTGTGTATCCATTTCATATTTTTGTGCCACTCTGTAAAGTACTTTTTATTTCAATTTCTGGTTGTTCATACAAAAATAATTTTTTTTTTGCTTTTTGCTTATGTGGTGCTGAGGAATCGAACCCAGGGCCTCATGCATGCAAGGCAAGCACTCTACCACTGAGCCACCTTCCCAGCCCCAAAAATAATTTTTTGTGTTGACTTTAAATTCTGAAACATTTTTGTTCAATTATTAGTTGTGGCTTTAAAAATAAATTTTATTGAACTTTCTATGTAATAATATGATTTACTAAAAAACAGTTCTTTGTTTCTTTTTTTCCCCTAGGTTACGGTCAGTATTTATTTCACAGAATAGTCTTAGGAATGCAGATATAAAGCATATGGACACAATGATAACTTAGGAATCAATGCTATTCTCTTAGGACTTAAAATCTGGATTTTATTATGCTCCATTACATTACATGCTCCATGAATAATATGTAGAATAAAAAGTCTAATAAAAATGATATATATCCCCCAAAAATACAGCTTGATGAGAAATCCAGGTGAAAATAAAAATCTTTGAAGAACCTACCCAAATACCATTGATGTCAAATATTATCTTGGCATAAAATCTAGAAGGGCAAAACTAAACAGCAACAAAACTTGAACATGTCAAAACAAAACCACCAACATACTCTGTATTGCACAGAGTGAAAGACCGACATGAAGTGTCTTGAGCCAACAAGTCACCTCTAGGGGCTTCAGCAGTGGTGACATAATGTACAATTCAGTTCCTGCCCCCTACACAAGATGCAGGGCAGGGAGGTAGTGTGGGGTTGCTATTGGAGAAGCATTCAGTTTACAACTGTGCCACCCCTTGCTATTCTTTTATCCCCAGTAAATTATTATCTGCATATAAGTCTGCTAGACCATAGCTTTCAGGGCAGATGCCTTGAAAGTTCTTAGGGAGGTTAAACAAATAGTGTAGCCTAAAACCTCCTCTGTAACAAACATGCACAGTGGACCCAAAGTAGGAGTGAGTGATGGGGCTGGAAGGACGTGTGGACTGTCTAGCCTTTAAAAGCACCTTGCCCCAAACAGATTCCAATTATAACCATTCTAGAAACAAAGAGAAAGCTACTAAATGTACTAATGTACTAATTTGTTTTTTTGACTGGACAGAGATTAGCAGTACCTACAGTTTTACCAGAATTGTTTCTGGGTCTCCAGGTGGAGACTAAAAACAGTTCTTTGTTTCTTTTTAAAATTATCTTTAAGTACTTTTACAAAAGAGTTGCTAACAAAGCAGTTTATGAATTTATGAATATAGTTTATGAATACAATATTTTTTGATCAATGTCACTTCTTTCAGTATTCTTACCCATACCTCCCCTACCCTTACTCTTCTTAACTTTGTATGATACCCATTGGATTTTTGTCTGCTTTTCCCCTTCTTCTTCATTTGTCTAATCTCTTTCCCTTTGATCCCACCCCACCCCTTTCAAGTACCCTCTTCCTGCTGTTTGATTTTGCTGACCTCTGATTTGGGCTTTCTAAGAATTACGCTATTTGAGATCACCCTTTAATTTACCATATTTCAACAAATACATTTGTGTACACTTGCAGGCTACGTCTCATTGTTTTTCTTAATTGCACTGGCTAACACCTATAGTACAGAGTTGCTAGGAAATGGTGAGAATAGATATCGTTGCCTTATTCCTCATCTCTGAAGGGATACTCAGTTTTTTTTAAAGTTAGGAATTGATGAGGTAATTTTAACTGGGCTTTATTATAAGAAATGAAAAAATACTAACATTTAAGGTAGTTAATAAAAAAGGAAGATTTGAGATCATTCTTTATAAATAACCTTTTATAACTTCAAAAATAACTTCTTTTTTTTTTTTTTTTGGTCCAGTTGTGGGGCCTGAACTCTGGGCCTGAGCACTGTCCCTCAGCTCTTCAGCTCAAGGCTAGTGCCCTGCCACTTGAGCCACAGCACCACTTCCGGCTTTTTTCTTTTTGCTTATGTGGTGCTGAAGAATCGAACCCAGGGCCTCATGTATGCAAGGCAAGCATTCTACCACTGAGCCAACTTCCCAGCCCCCAAAAATAACTTCTTAATGTATTGTGAGGGGTTTGTGGTGGTTGTTGCTTCACATTTGTTTCTTGCTTACATGAATTGTAAATTTAAACTACTGCACATATTACATATGTTTTGAAAAAGAGGGCTTCTAGAGTAGACCTAATCTGAACAGGACATTTGAGGCATTTAATACTAAGGATGTTTAGTTGCAATATCAATGAGAAAATTTCCCTTAGTATAGTATCATCTCTTTAAGTACTTCTAATAATTTAACCTAGGTAAATACTCACAAAAAATTCTATAATTAGCTGGGCACCAGTGGCTCATGCCTATATTTCTAGCTATTCAGGAGGCTGAGATCAAAAGTTTGCAGTTCAAAGCAAGCCTGGGCAGGAAAGTCTGTGAGACTCTTATCTACAATAAACTACCAAAAAGCTGGAAGTGGAGCTTGAGCCTTGAGCAAAAGAAGCACTAGGACAGTGCTAAGATACTAATTCTGTAATTAGTATCTTAAATTCTGGACTCTAAAGAAATTTTCTGATTCCTTAAGTAATGACAAGCCTTCAGGCAAAATTTTCTTCTCAATCTTTAATGTCTCTAGTGCACAAGTATTATTGGCAGGAGTCTCTTCATAAACTTTGGTCACTATCCTATTCACTGAATTCAGCAGTAGATTTAGACATCCTCAGAGGTACCAGGCAGGAACATTTCTGACAACCCAATTCTTTTTCAGTCCAATCATTTGGAAAATTCTGTTTGTCCTTATTAGAACTGAAAATTACTAAAAATAACTGATATATTTAGGGATAGATTTTTTTTTGTGTATGGGTATGAGTTACAAGTTATCTCAAAAGCATAATTCAATATGTGTATGAAGTTAATTCTCTCTTCTCCTGATTCATTAGCATAACATTTTTATCTGGGACATTTCTAATAAGTGCAGTGACCAAGGTCAGTCTTTTCTGCTTGATTAATTAGCTCTGTTGAATAGAGAAGCCTATCATTTTAGGTTGCCTTCTTCCTTTCATCATTACTATAGTAATGGTTTCTCTCACTCACTATGAAAGATTCCTTACCTTTATTAATTGTTGAAGATCTTTCCTAATTGCTATATCTTTAAACCTACCTAATTGGAATACTTAAGGTTTCATTGGAAAACATTTTTTTTTTAAATATAGTTTGAAGCTGGGCATTGGCGGCTCATGCCTGTAATCTTAACTACTTAGGAGGCTGAGATCTGAGGCTCACAGTTCAAATCTAGCCTTGGCAGGAATGTTTGTGAGACTCTTATTTCCAATAAACTACCCAGAAAAAGTCCAAAGTGGTGCTATGGCTCAAGTGGTAGAGCTCTAGCCTTGAGCAAAGGCAGCTCAGGGACAGTGGCTAGTCTCTGAATTAAAGCCCTAGTACTGGCAAAAAGAACCCCTAAAAATTAAAGCTAAATACGATAGCTTAAATGCTTGTGATTAGGTTGGAAATTCAAGTTACATTTCTTTTTTTTTTGGTCGGCCGTGGGGCTTGAACTCTGGGCCTGGGCACTGTCCCTCAGTTCTTCAACTCAAGGCGAGCGCTCTACCACTTGAGCTACAGCGCCACTTCCGGTTTTCTGGTGGTTTATTGGAGATAGGAGTCTCACGGTCTCTCCTGCCCGGGCTGGCTTTGAACCACGATCCTCAGATCTCAGCCTCCTGAGTTCAAGTTTCATTTCTTACTTCTCATTGAGCCTGACTTCTAGCGAGCATGAAATATCAGTATTTGTTATATTAATTTTTCTTCCATTGAACTAAATGTAATAATGTACTGCATATC